TCATAAAGACAAGTGTGCCAAGCTTGTGACATCATATTTAAAAAGACTTGAGGCTGTAAATGCTGCCAAAGGTGCATCCGCAACGTATTGAGCAAAGGCTGTGAATACTTATGTACATATGATCTTTCAGCTTTTTCATTTTTAATTAATTTGCAACAATTTCAAAAAATCTTCATTATGGGATAATGTGTGTGTATTTTTGAGGAAATAAATTAATTTAATCCATTTTGGAATAAGGCTGTGACATTAAAAATGTGGAAAAAGTGAAGCGCTATGAATACTTTCCGGATGCACTGCACACAACATAAATTGTTCGCATTCTGTTTAACTACTGCCAATAAGCTACTGCTACTGTTTTGGAAATAAAATAAATCCCCTAAGTGTAAACTGTGGCTTGGAGAAAATACCTCTATGTTACATTTGAGCGAATTAGATACTATAAAAAAAGAAAAAAAAAAAACAATTTGACAAAACTTTAAATCCTTTTATGTGTTAGCTAGGAAAAAAAAACTTTGTGGTATAATGAATCCTTTCTGTAATGTTTTAATCTGCTTTGTCATCACACTCTGTTGTTTAAACAGGTCTTTGTAAACAAGTTGGCATGTTATGTGGGTGGATTTTTATTATTTTTTTTATCAAGATTTTCAGGGCAGCATGGTGGCGCAGTGGGTAGCACATGGGTTTGCTCCAGTTGCTCCGGTTTCCCCCACATGTTCAAACACATATGGTACAGGTGAATTGGGTAAGCTAAAATTTTCTGTAGTGCATGTGTGTGACTGTGTATGGATGTTTCCCTGTGATGGGTTGCAGCTGGAAGGGCATTCGCTGCATGAAACATGTGCTGGATAAGTTAGCAGTTCATTCCGCTGATTAATAAAGGGACTTAGTTGAAAAGAAAATGAATGAATGAATTATGATTTTCATATTGTTTTTCTTTTTCTTTTTTCTCTTTCTATCTGCTTTGCCTATGTTATATGTGGACAAAATATGCAAAACAGAATCCTTTTCCTTCAGAATCTGACTTCAATAAAACTTACTTGACAAAAAAATAAATAAACTTCTATTTCTCAGTGCCTAGCAGCCGCTGTGCCTCTTTCCAACCTTAAGCACCCATTCCACTGCATGACAAGAGAAGGAACAGGCTTGAGTCCAGAATCAGTGTCAGCGTTCAGGAGCACCTGAGCTTCAGAAACAGACAGAGCGATGACTGATCTCAGCACAGTGAGTCAGAGCAGCTCAGATGGATATCGCTCTGAACGGCAGGCCTCCTGTCAGCGAACACTGCTGTTAAATGATATCAGGCCTGAAGAGAAGGAGGCCTTTGTGACAGTCTCACCCCAGCCAAACTGCAGAGTCAGACCGCCAGATGAAATCATCTATTACATCTTATAATTAGAATACCACTTGTACCAATGAAATCTATGATGAAATGAAAGATGTTTGCAACTGAGATGAGATGATGAAAAGATGACAATACGATCTTTAAACAGTAACTGTGACTAATGACTAGGCCCACACGGAATCTGTGTGAGCAGAAATCTGCAGATTTTTAGGCAATCATGCAGTCTATTTATTTACTTGTGTAAACGTGTGTACATTAAAATTTATTTAGTTTTTAAATTAATTTCAGTAATATCATTGACAATATAAAAATGTTTATATGATTTATTTACAATATAGTGTACAACCTTTTAGGAGATATATTACATGAGAGACTTGCTTTGTTTACCAAGTGGATCTAATTGGATTTGCATTGTAAACATTAAATAACAGTTAAAAAGGTTTTTTTTTTTTTTTTAGTCATGTATTAAGTTTTAATTACAATACTTCCAAAACCATTCCACATAAGACTATCCGCAGACTATCTACAAAATTCTGTGCAGAAATAGCAAAAACATTCTGCAGATTCTGTGTGGCTCCACTAATGACTATATCCCCATATTGTATTTTTTTAAATAAATAAGGCAACTTCATGATATCTCTTTAATTTTTTCCAAAAAAACGGAAAACAATGTAATACAAGCTACTGATCATCCTTTTATAGTAAGTTCTCATAGCGGCTGTTTGAATGTGGAATGTCTTATGAATGTGAAATGTCTTATATTGCATGTTATGGGTCAAAATTATTGAATTTTCTTTTGTGTCAAAAATCATTAAAAGATTACGCAAAAAAGATTATGTTCAATAAAGATACTTTGGTAAAAATGTTTAAAGGGCACCTATGAAGAAAATCAAACCTTTGTAAGCTGTTTGGACAGAACCGTGTGAATGTATAGTGTGTCCACTGTCGTATTGAAGTGAAATAAACACAACAAGTCTCTTTTTTTAATTCCTGACCCTAATCCCAGTGATTTTGAGGCCCACCGCAACGTGAGGCGGGAGTGTGGTTTTCCCCACCCACCAGATTAATTGACAGGCGTCATGTTTGTATAATAACACGATCACACTTTACAATAAGGTTCATTGGTTAATGTTAATTAATGCATTTACTAAGATAAACAAACAATGAACAATACATTTACTACTGTATTTGTTCATATTAATTAACGTTAGCTAATGAAAATACAGTAGTTCATTGTTAGTTCATGTTAACTCATGGTGCATTAACTAATGTTAACAAGCTCGGACTTGAATGTTAATAATGCATTAGTAAATGTTCAATTATGATTAATAAATGCTGTACATGTGTTGTTCATGATTAGTTTGTGTTAGTAAATGCATTAACTAATAGGGATGTAACGGTATCAGAATTTCACGGTACGGTAATACCTCGGTATGAATGTCACGGTACGGTATTTATTGAATCATTTACAGGAAAACAAAACTTATGAAAATACTCCAAAAAAGTGCCAAAAGTGTCAATGACATACAAATTAGCCATCTATCTGTAAGCTTTGAAACAGGAACTTCAATTTTAATAACAAAAAATTTTATAAATAAAGTGCTGTGCATTTTTTTTATAAATAAAGTTTTGAAACTTTATTTTATAAATAAAGTTTCAATTTAGTATTGTTGAAAACTCATCACATTCAACATTTAATCACTCACTCACTTAGATAGAGATGGGTTTAAAGGAAAATTATCATATAAATATAATCTGGTAAAAGCTGGGATCTCTGGGTATTTACAATGTCCCCTGCAACAGAAAAAACCCTCTCATTTGGGACTGAGGATTCTGGGACAGAGATATGACTTGGCCCATGTTGACAGCAGTGGGTAACGTTTTGCATTGTCTTTCCCCCACTTGAGAAGACAAACCATGAGTGAGATAGAGGTCTCTTTGCGGTACAAGTCAATGTCTGCATCAATCTGAACAGTGTGCTGTGTTTCTGCAGTCCCCATGACTGCTATTAGTCGTATTCACCAACTTGCAGGCACGTGCACACATAGGGCTCAACCTGTGCAGTGCACATGCCCTTTTTAGTCTTGGATAGAATATGCCCTTCCAAAACGATCAAAAGTGCCCCCGCGACGCGACACAACCTCCGTCCAGCCCTTCAGTAGACAACACCGCTCTTAAAAATGCGCGCTCAACCCCCCCTCGGCGCTTTATAATACGCTCGCGACAACACAGCTGATCAGAACGCGCGCGACAACACTGCTATTCAGCACGCGCGCGGCGACAACACCCGCTTTAGATTCGATCATTTCCATCTTTTTTTCATCTCCGCTACTAGCAGCACACTCCATTTCCGCATTACTGGATCTGTAGCGACAGCAGACCGCAAAGGATTATGGCCACGCCTGGGCTGATGGGAAATGTAGTTTAAGCTACCTCCCGTTCGCTTCATTCGCCTGAGCAAATTTTCTCAGAAGACCTATAGTTTTACCGAGTCATGCGACTTCGGTAATATCGAAAAAAATTAATATTGCGGTATGACGGTATTTACAATACCGTTACATCCCTATTAACTAATGAACCTTATTGTAAAGTGTTACCAACAACACTTATACACGTCCACAGAACATTTTTTTTTTGCAAAAAAAAACTGGGATGATGTCAGTAAATGGTACAGCAAACAGCATTTGTGTGAGACTCATCATTTCAGAAAGGCTTACATAAACTCCATCACAAATACACAAATAAACTTACTTGGTATTTTTAACTAATGAGCTGTATTTCAGCTTCATCTCTGTCTGTCTCTATCACTGACTGTTGTTTATCTGATGTAACACAGGAGAAGCAGATACACATGTCAGAGCAGTGGGCAGGGAGAAGCAGCTCATTTGCATTTAAAGGCACAGGCTACAAAAACAGCTACATAGTATTTAGACCAAGCGGCAACCTCCTGCTCTCCCTCAAAAGTAACTGAAACTGCAATTCATCGCAATTTCTCTAGTCCTGGCTCCACAATAGAGCAAATTTCTATTGAGCTCACTGTTAATATGGTCAACTTTACAGCAGAAAAGGTGTTTATAGTCTGGCACAAAGAACAATTTTGGTTCATATAGCTAATATTACCCTTCATGACAACTATTATACCTCATCCATTTCCTTTATATTAGGTTTTATTAAGTCTGCATAATTAAGGGCGTGGTCACTTGAGTGACAGCTAGGTCTAGTTGGTCTCCGTCACTTCACCTCAACTGATTCCGGCTGATTAGCTGCTGAGCTCGCATATACATCGTATTTTTGTGTTCTTTTATGTGGCTTTACACAATTACTTGCCTTTTGAAATGATTTCCTACAATTATCAAATGATATGGCATGCTATGTGCACTTAATTGTGCTCACAAACCATTTCCCAGGTGAGTGAAATGATATACTTATATACTATATCTATAAATGTATTTGTTTTATTTAAGATCATTTATATTTTATCTTTAGACCTGTAATGCACTCCAGAATCTGACATATTGATTAGCTGTAGGCTCTAGAACAGTCATCTGCTGCGTTGTCATAAAATGTTGTGCTTGGATTTCATAAATAGTCTTGCATTTACTAAAACAGACATGTAGTTTGCATTTTCCTCCTGTAGAAGACCTCATAAGAACAACGTTTGGTGGCCCAATTTATTGCAACAGTGTTTTTAAAAGACAACACTTTATTGATATAGTGTACAACCAAGCGCATGGGGTCAGAACACAAACGTGTCGCAGGTAACGAAGTAAGCGCTTTTCTGATAGTAAAGCCCGTCTAAGCAAAATGATAGCAGTCTGTAGCTCCGCCTCTTTGCCCTTATTTGGTATTCCTGGTTCATTTAGATGAAGTGCAAACAAAATGGCGACAGTTGGCCACGCCAACTTGTAGCTTCTTTTGGGTTCTTCACAAACCTATGGATGACATCAAGGATACTACGTCCATATTTTACAGTCTATGATTCAGACACAAAAAAGAGCAGATTCTGGAGGCTAAAAAGGTAAAATAGGTGCCCTTTAAATCCCACAATCAGAGCCTTTATGTTAAAAACATGTGTTTTTTGCCTGGTGCAATACTTAAAATTTGTGATCTGGCAAACAATCTGATATTCTACTAAGTAAAAAGTAAGCTGGAGTTCAGCAATCTCCAAATGAGATAATCTGACAATATTTTTTAGTTTGTCTTATTTTGCAAGTTACTCAAGAAATGATTAATTGTTATACATTCAAATATAATCTGGGTTCTCACTTATGAACTTGGCATATGCAACAAAAATAGGGGTGGTTCACAACTTTTTTCCACATAAAAGTTGTGATCTATAAAAAAACAAACTTGATGGGAGATTCAAGTGTACAGCTGTTAAGTAAACTCTAAGTAAACATATTTAACTTATTGTAAATACTGACCTTAATTCAACCACTTAAAATTATTATAAGTGCAATAATTAAAATAATAAACAAATAATTATTCTACTGTACTTTTACTTTCAGGAGGGTTTTTTATAAATCAGGCCCGTGGACTAAACTTTTTATGAATTGCAGTTCCTGAATAATGCAATTTGTATGACAATGACAAACTTTTTGCTTGTTTTATTAAAAATATGTCTCATGTAATTCAAAATTAGTACTAAGAATTTGTGAAGAGGAGGAAGGTTTCGTGACAGCACAGCACTCCATCTCACCCCAGCCAAACTCTGTCGAGTCAGACGGTCCAATGAAATCATCAATTATAGCACAAGGTGAGCTGAAAGCACCGTGTAAAGGTCGCCTAGTGAAGGGGGAGAAAAAAACGGCCAGCTCAGGGCTTTTCTCTCTGCATGCCACTGCTGAGTTTGTGGGAGGTCCGGCTTCGCACAGAAATGGAGTTTAAATTTTAAACAGGTGGAGAGAGGGAGGCCCCGGGCCCTGTGTGAAGATTTCAGGAGGTGACAGGGTGAGAGAGAGTGAGAGAAAGAGACGTCTGGAGCGAATGTGGAGCAGCGAGGGACATTCATAACTAATTAAACAGACCTCAGATGCGTCACGCTGCAGGTATCAACCGCAGTCCATCACATCCCATTAGAGGAGCCTGATAATTGTGGTGTTTGTGGGGCTTCGCTCATATAAGAGTTCAATGGTCGCTAATACCATTCTTGTCCAAAGCCGACTTCTGGTTCATTGTGGTCACAGTTTAGAGGATGAATTCCTGCGCCGTTCACTCCTCCTCTTCCACATATGTTGAAGGAAACCAGCCAACCTGTAATATAAAACATATCTGTAATATAAAACACTATAGTGCCAACTGGTTCTAAGAACAGTCAGTTTTGTTCCTGTTGTATTTCCACATGAGCCTGTTAAAATGTGGAAAAGTTCAAGACATAGATTACTAGAGGTTATTATACTACACTACCGACTAAAAGTCTTGATGCCTATCCAAGTTTTAGGGTGCTTTAACACCTGTGAATCGATTCAGTTGTTTCGAAACAGAGATTACAATTGTTACATTGTTGCTCTTTGCTCTTAGTGAGGTTCGCTTTCACACTGCAAAGTTTCTAATCGGACCAAATGAGCTAAAATAAGTCACGTGTGAGTAAACTCTCCTTACATTGGTCAGAGTGTCAGGGTTTATTTTGCAGAGTCCCGCTCAGCTGTCAGGAGAGGTGGTGGTTTGGTGGTGATTGACAAGGTGCGCGCACGTGATGTGTCTGAGGAGAGATGCGGTGGGGAGGGGTGAGAAGGGTGCGCGACGATGCCCATTTGAGGACCGGGAGGGAGACGCGAGATTAGCGGGAGATCATCACTCATTTGGGGGCATAAGGAGATTTGCAAAACTTCCCGCCCTACTCATAATTCCCTCTTCATATAGCCGTATGCCCACATATCCATAAAACACTGTGATTTAACCGCGCTCGGATCGGATCGCTTTCTCACTGCAATTGATCTGCTCCAGGGTTCGTTTCAATCGAGCTGAGACCACCTCACTCAGGCGGTCTCGGAGCAATTACTTTGGCGCTGAACAGAGCGCGACTGCCCAGTTCACATATGCCAAACGAACCGCGCTAACTGGGCAAACAAGATACGTTCCGAAACAAAAGTGTAGGTGTGAAAGCACCCTTAGGAACAACAAATAATAACTTGACAACTAGTTGATCACTTGTTATCAGAAGTGGCTTAAATGAAAGGCAAAGTCCTCTAGATTACGCTTATTTTACCAAAATAAAATGTCATGTCTTAATTTTTAATTATTCAATTTAGGCAGTAAGGTCTGACTTTGCTTAGACAAAAGTCTAGTCACTTAACAAAAATAATGTACAGTAAAGAATATAAAGTCGTGGTGCAGTGGAAAAAGAATGAATATTGTGTATGACTCCTATGAGCTTGGAGGACTGCATCCATACATCTCTGCAATGACTCAAATAACTTATTAATAAAGTCAAATGTCAAATGTGTAAATTAAAAAAATATATTTCAACGAATTTCCTTTGCTTCTACATTGCTTAATAATTTAGAAAAAAAAACAGTGGTTAATAGACGGTTATGGCCATCGGCAGGTGATTGCAGTGTTGCAAGAAAAAAAAAACATAAACTGTAAACATTTTCTGGCTGTTTTTACATTTTTTAAATCTAATTAAAGGGGCAGTAGGTGATTGTCTTCAAAAACACTTGTTGTTGTGCTGGTTGAAAGTCTCTTTAAATTCCAATATTAATGATTAAAGTAAATGATCTAAATATATTCATGTGTCTATTTATATTTTGGGTTAGCATAAAACTAAAAAAATGTTGATCCAATTAAATATAGTCAGGCTGACATCTCTCACAATTCCGATAAGTATCTCAAACTGTCTTTCAGCAAATGCAGATTTGAACAACTGCGCAGCCATTTGTACGCTGCTCAGACGACCGCTGTTTGTGCATAGGCGCGATTGGCCAAAACATGCTGAATCAAAAACCTGAATCAATATTGGAGTTACCTTTGCACGCTGGAGAAAGAATGACACTATGGCAGAAGGATTTCTCTGAGACAGGTAATGTTCTGTTTTAAAACTATTTACAGTTTCATAAGGGACCTTTCACAGCATCGATATTGTAGATTTTAATTAGTTTAACAACAAAACACAAGTAAATACAGCTATTCCGCCTAGTCCCTCCCTATATTGTTTACCATGCTACTCTGAATATTCGATCTAAAATAGCATGCCAGTTTGGCTTAGTAATGAGTGTAATTCCTGCACACCGCAGGACAAGCACTAGTTGCTTTTAACACATGAGAGAGGATACTTTTGCTGTCACTTTTAAGGTGCGCATGCTCCTGTTTCAGGAGGCATGGCTCTGGACGGCAGGGGAGGGACTGTGATTCAGAGATTTATGCTTAGCTGTTAGCATTGTGGAAGATCACCTACTGCACCTTTAACTCTTTTAGTTATCTCAGCTTATTTCAATCAAACTTACAAAAATATAGTTAAACTTTTCAGAACTTAAAAAAAAAAATTGAAACCTGATTAACTTATTAAAATAACTTTTTTGAAAAATCTTTTTTTTTTTTACTATATATTATTTGACTTTGCTCTAACAAGTTTTTAGCGTACAAAAAAAAAATTGTCATGCGTACGTTTTTGAGACATCGGGCGATTATGTTCTTGCCAGGGGCGTTGCTAGGGTCGAAAGGGATAAGGGGCTTAGCCCCGAAGAGTATAGTGTGAGTTGTTATTAAATGTGATACAAAGCTACAAACATGTTCAGTTGGACAGAGTCATTAACCGAGGTGTAGTGTTGTCAAGATACTGGAATTTCTAAATTCAATACCTTGCAAAATATTGGTATTCAATAGGCTACTGTTTTTGACATAATAACAATTTTATCAAAAATAGTACAAAAATAAAAATAAAGATTTATATGCTAGAAATGTGTTTACTTCAAATCTCTTTAGAGGGAGATTTTTTTCAGTTTTCCTGAAAATAAGGTGATGTGAGCATTGTATCACTTTAAATGCATGTAATGCTTGTTTCATTCATTCATTGAGCAGAAATTCCATATATGCCTCACAAAATTAGAACATTCCAGGAAATCCTTAATATGGATGCAGGAATCCAGCTATTGCTGTAGTTGAATGAAAATAAGATCTGAATAAACATAAAAAGGCTTTAACTGATCATTTACACGACTGCGATAATAAGTGTTTATACAGTTGAAGTCAGAATTATTATTCCCCTTTGAATTTTATTTTCTTTTTTAAATATTTCCCAAATGATGTTTAACAGAGCAAGGAAATTTCCACTGTATGTCTGATAATATTTTTTTCTTTTAAAGAAATTCTTAATTGTTTTATTTCAGCTAGAATAAAAGCAATTTTACATTTTTAAAAAACCCTTTTAGGATCAAAATTATTAGCCCCTTTAAGCTAAATTTTTTCTGATAGTCTACAGAACAAACTATCGCTATACAATAACTTGCCTAATTACCCTAACCTGCCTTTAAAGCCTTTAAATGTCACTTTAAGCTGTATAGAAGTGTCTTGAAAAAATGTCTAGTCAAATATTATTTACTGTCATCATGGCAAAGATAAAATAAATCAGTAATTAGAGATGAGCTATTAAAACTATTATATTTAAAAAATGTGTTGAGAAAAATCTGCTCTGCATTAAACAGAAATTAGGGGAAAAAATAAACAGGGGGGCTAATAATTCAACTGTCTTCTTCCAGCAATCTCAGGTATTTTCATAAGAAAGTCGATTTATAATCCCCTGCTAACTGACAGATGTGACTGGCTATATCATATCTAGATAAATATGCCTAGATATCTATATCATATCCAGAAAGCTAGAACAATTTACGTTTTTCTGACTAATTTGCATGTGTGCATTGATATGATGCACATTTTATCGATTACAGTTATTTTATTTCACCAAAACTACACACATTTTATACTGTGGAAACAAATGTTAAGCTTCATCAGTAGTTAGAACTATTCAGTTTTGCGAAAGAGTTGCATTATTACCTCATCAGCTTCAGCTCTTCAAAATAATGAATAAATGTAGTGCAGTGGCGGAATTTTTTTAAACATCATGTGACAACAGTGCCACTTCCACCTGCCGGTAGATACAGGTACTGCTGAACAGCTGACCCGATGCAAACACTGCGTTAGGTAAAATGTGCGTGATATACACAGTAATTTTCAGTACTTAGATAACAAAATAAAAGTTATACACCATATTTTTATTTAAGTGCAACATATTGCTAAAGATCAGGGGCTTTTGACAATACATCAGGGGCTTAAGCCCCCAAAGCCCCCCCCCCTCGCAACGCCACTGGTTCTTGCAGACTTTGACTTGCACATGCTTACATGCATGTTATAAACTTGTGTACTTTGGGCTTAAGCGAGCATATCTCTTTTTCATTATGATTAGTTTGAAATCTCTTGAGATTCAGATCTGAAACTGACATGCAGAAGAATCATTAAGAGTCATTCTGTCATCTTCTGTCATCACCTCCAGTTAATCATCTCTCTTTTTAAACAAAGTTGAGCATATGAAATGAAGAAAAGTGACTCTAATAAGGCTGGAGGAAAGATATGTGACTCAGGATTAGATATATTGATGAAATATTCTGACCTAAGCTCTAATTTTAATCTTAAATGTCAATCACACTGTCATATATCTATAATGCTAAGTCATTTGCTTGAATCCAAACCAAGAATAAAGTATTTTCTGAGCAGGGATACATTTTTATCATAATGTAATCAGGGTTTCTGCAGGTTTCATCAAGTCAAATTTAAGACTTTTTAAGACCCTTTTAAGACCATAAAGAATTAAATTTTAGACTTATACACGGTTAAAACTTTTTTCTAATGGCCTGGTATTATCATTAGAAATCACGTTTTTAGTTGTTTTTAGTTTTCACAATTGAGAACTTTAATTTGTTCAATTTGCTGTAAACATGTTTAACAGCTGTTGTAAATAGTATTGCTTTGCAATAAAAAAAAGTATATTAAAAAAATAAAGTTTTATTGGCGATTAAATGGTGGGTGGTCTAATTGAGTATAGCTTGGACAAAGCAAAATTAAGACATGTTTAAAATGATTAAAGACCAAAAGCACAATATTTCAGTGAATTTAAGACTTTTTATGGCCTAAAATTTAGTTTTTGAAATTTAAGACTGAGGTAGTTTACAAGCTCCACAGTGGCAAAGCAGCGGGGGTGGATGAGATTTACCATGTGTATCTTAGGTCTCTGGATATTGTGGGGCTGCCTTGTCCGACATGTCTCTACAATATGGCATGGAGGTCTAGGACAGTACCTCTAGACTGGGCAACTGGGGTGGTGGTTCTTATTTTTAAGAAGGGGGGCTGGATGGTGTGCTCCAACTAGAGGGGGTATCACACTCCTCAGCGTCCCTGGGAAAGTGTGTGTCAGGGTACTGAAGAGAAAGATCCAGCCTATGTTTGAACCTAAGATTCAGGAGAAACAATGCGATTTTTGTCCAGGCCGTGGTCCACTGGACCAGCTCTTTACCCTCACCAGGGTGCTTTAGGGCTCATTGGAGTATTTCCTACCAGTCCACATGTGTTTTATGGACTTGAAGGATACAAGTCACTTATTGCATAATGTGGAGGGTGCTCTGGGAGTATGGGGTCAGCAGCGATCTGTTAAGGGCTGTCTCATCCCTGTATGAGCAGACAGTTTTCAGTGCATGTTGAATTCCAGCAGGGCTGTCCTTTTTCACTAATTCCGAAAGAATTTCAAAGCGCAGCCTTGGGCTGAAGGGGGTCCGGTTCGGGGACCACAGTATCTCATCTCTGTTATTTGCAGCTGATGTTGTTCTGTTGGCTTCATCAAACATGGACGTTCAGCATGCACTGGGTGGTTTGCTGCTGAGTGTGACGTGGCTGGGATGAGAATCAGCAGTCTGAGGCCATTGTGCTCCACCGGAAAAAGGTTTGCCATCTCCAGGTTCTTATCCCTTATTATATTCACGAGTGAGGGAGGTATGGAGCGTGAGATTGACAGGTGGATCGATTTACTGGTCAATCTATGTTCCTAGTCTCACCTATGACAAAGGACAAGATCTTGGATTTAACAGAAAAAATTTGTTTCCTTCGCAGGGTGGCAGGGTGCACCCTTATAGATAGGGTGAGGAGCTCGGTCACCCGGGAGGAGCTTGGAGTAGAGCCGCAGGTCCTCCACATTGAGAGAAGCCAGGATACGTTGTAGCGACTACAGTATGCCTCTCGGCTGGCCTGGGAATGCCTCGGGATCCCCTCAGAGGAGCTGGAGGAAGTGTTTGGGGAGAGGGAAGTCTGGAGTTTTCTCCTAAGTTGGCTGCCTCTGTGACCCAGCCCCGGAAAAGCCGTTGAAAATGAATGAATATATTATCATTCATTCATTTTCTTTTCGGCTTAGTCCCTTTATTAATCTGAGGTCGCCACAGTGGAATGAGCTGCCAACTTATCCAGCATGTGTTTTAAACAGCCGATGCCTTCCACACAGAAATGCCAACTGACCAAGACAAGGCTTGAACCAGTGACATTCTTGCAGTGAGGCAATCGTGCTACCCACTGTGACATATATTATATCTCATATTATATTATATTTTATTATTAAACATTGTAAACGCCTTTGTCACTTTTGATTCATCACATAAATTGAAACTGAACTAAAATTTAATACATGGATTACATTTTAATGATAATTTAATCTTACCAACATCAATCTTTTAAACTGTTACTGCTGTTACGGTGTGCCTAGCAGTTGCCTTTAGTGCAACCATTGAAGTTTATGAGTTTGCTTCAATGATCTGCCAGTTCACAGAAAAAGCAAGTATTTTTAGTTTTAAAATGTGTAAGAATGTTTTTTTTTTTCTCACCCGGCCATTGACTTCACCCTTCCACCATCCATTGGTACACTTGATATAGATCTTCACCAGGTCGCCCACCTGCAGTGAGAGTTCACGGGTGTCCCTCGAGCTGAAGTCATATCGCGCCAGCGCAATACCAAGCACTCTTGGGGTCAAAACTGACAGAGAAGGGGATTGAAGACACAAAACTAGTGGTTAGATAAAGGACAGCGAAGGAGAGACACAAATGTTTCACGAGACATGCTAAGTAGGACAAAATAAGTCACTGTGGAACAAGATGATTTGGAGCAAACACAGGGTACAAATGGTGTTGCATCATACATCGTTACACACAAAATCTGGATACAGACCCCACTTTGTCACATAACGAACAATACAAAAAGAGGCAGAACCAAGTGCAACGTGTTACTGGATTTACGTTTCCGCTAATCCTCCAATAAGATGGGAAGGAGAAATGTATAGTTTATTATCAATCAGGATTGGGTGCTTCTACAACCTTCGTCAATCTATGAATAGCTAATGTTAATCACCATCATTTCCCACTTTAAGGAATAACTTCTAGTAGAGATGCACAATATTGGATTTTTGCCCATTTTTGATAAACAATTTTGTAAACAAATTTTGGCCAAAAGGGATATTCATTTCTATATTTTGAACACTACATCAAATCAGATGTGCCTTTTTATGATACAGATGAATTAGGGATTATAATGCTCATTATAACAGATTAACGGTTAAGTAAAGGGGTGCATTGTATACAGATTAATGAGTTTAATAAATCAGTTTAATAATGAAAAAAATATTATTATTTATATATTTTTCAAATTTGGCTGCATAAGGAGCCGATAACAGTGAATGCGCTTTTTGCGTTGAGAGAGGCAATTTTTGAATGGTTTACTAACGGCTGATAGCGTTTTGTGAAGTCTTGCGTAAGCAAAGCCCACAGGTAAATTCATCAATTATTGAATGGTACTACTTCTTTTTAACAAACCGAACTCAGGCAGTAAAGGTAAATAACAGTTTGTCCCAAGTTAAATATAGTAGTTCTGGTGTCCCTCAGGCTTGTGTGAGCTCCTCACTTCTGTTTACTTTATACACTAATGAGTGCTCAAGCAGGCACTCACAGAATTGTATTCCTAAATACTCAGACGATATGGTAATTTTAGGGTTGCTGAAAAGACAAGATCCTTTTTACATACAAAAGAACGTCAAATTTGATAACGCGTCAACATGACATTACACATGTTAATTTATTAAGCTTAACTGGCTTAAAAACAGGTAAACGACTCTAAATCACCATCCATGAAAAATATAAATGGGCAGATTGCTGGCTTGATCTTGTTTGCAGCTCTCCTTACAGACTAGTAAGTTACTGTACACTGTTACTGTAACAGTTTCCTAAAGGATCTACAGTAACTTACTGCTAGCAGTTTGCTAGTAACTTACTGTAGATTCTACATGAATATTTTCTCCAAGAAATGTATTTACAATATTGTATATTTTTTTTGCAAAATGTCATATTTATATCATTTCACAATGCAGCAAAACTGTCCTATACATTAAATTCATATAACTGCAGGTTAGCTATGTTTATATATAATAACTTTTAACTGCTATTGGTTACTAGTAATTAGTAATTAATAAAGTTAATACACTGCCTGAAAAATGATATGGTAACTAATAAACTTAATTTTACTGAATTTGACAGTATTGCAATAATGTGCACCTTTAGTAAAGCTTCTTTGTGACAATAAATATTGTGAATAGCTCTACACTTCTGAATTCAATATTACAGTTAAATACTGTGTAATTTACAAATATCGATAACAGTGTAGGCTCATAATCAACACATCATCTTATCTGCAAGGCATATTGGCATCATTTTCCACATTAGGCTGATGTTTACATTTTAAACAATTATCAGCCAATTTATGAAATATTCAGATAATATTGTGCATCCCCAACTTACAGGTAGACTTAAGTTTAAAGTGTAGGGATTATTTATCCAGGATCAACCAAAATATGTTAATCCAGGAACATGTGCAACTCTGCGAAATCAGGGCGTGCACAGAGCCAGAGCTGAAGCAAACGCACAGAGGACAGACTACAGGGGGAAATGAAGAAGACAGGAGGCTGATGGCTGTACCTGACCAGAAGGGTGAGGGGGAGGGAGGAACAAAATTGTAGCTGGTGGGACTCAAAACGGAAAGCCCACACAGCACTGGAGCTTAGGATCCAAGCCGAGGCAGAGTGAAGAAAATAAGAACACAAAAACCCAGAGATCTTAACCGAGACATTTTCAACAGAACAAACACAAACAAGCTGACAGAGAGAACTCAAAGCACTGCACAAACGAACGCTTGCTTTGAAATACACCAGACTTGAGGTATTCACATGAGAACATATATTTTTTATTAATATAATTTTAAATATTTATAATTTTTTATTTTAGCATATTGTAAATGGGAAACAACTAAGTGTTAAGAAAGGGTATGAAATATGTTGTAGTTTTTTTTTGTTTGTTTGTTTGTTAATATACACTGCCTGACAAAAGTCTTCTCATCAATCCCAGTTGCAAGAGCAAGAAATAATAACTTGTCTTCTAGTTGATCATTTGGAAAAGTGGCAGAAGGTGAATATTTCAGATGAATCATCAGTTTAACTGCATCACAATAATCACGAATACTGCAGAAGACCTACTGGAACCCACATGGACCCAAGATACTGACAGAAATCAGTCATTATTGGTAAAGGAAAAATCATGGTTTGAGATTACATTTAGTATGGGAACGCGCAAGAGGTCTGCAGAGTGGATGGCAACATCAACAACCTGAGGTATAAAAGACATTTGTGCTGCCCATTACATTACAAACCACAGAAGAGGGCAAATTCTTCAGCAGGATAGTGCTCCGTCTCGAACTTCAGCCTTCAAATCAAAGTTTCTAAAGGCAAAGAAGGTCAAGGTGCTCCAGGACTGGCTAGCCCAGTCACCAGACATTATCGAGCATGTCTGGGGTATCATAAAGAAGGAGGCATTGGAGATGTATCCAAAGAATCTTAATGAAGTCTGGGAGACCAAGAACGCTTTCTTTGCCATTCCAGATAACTTTATTAATAATTTTTTTGAGTCACTGCAGAAATGTATAGATGACTTACAAAATTCTAAGTCATTACAAGATAAATTGCATGACTTACATACCTGTTAAGTTTAATGCCAGTAATGACAACTCTCAGTGAAGTATTGTGTGTGTGTGTGTGTGTGTATGTGTGTGTGTATTGAAGAGCCGCTTAGCTAACAGTTGACAGGCCGGGGAAACACACACACAGTATTTATGACGGCAGACATGTGAACTAGGAGGATGTTTTTCTCTTGCGCTTGAACCCCTTCTGACAGATTATAACGGCTTTAACATACACCTTTCTAAGATGTGTCACAAAAACACTCCATAATCCATTAAGAACACTATTGAAACCCGTTTTTGGAGCGCAATTTACCAGTTGTAAACGCTGTAAACAGAAGTTTGAACCATTCTACCGGTAAATGCTGGTTGCTATGGCGCCCTCCATGCAGCAGCCCCAAAAAAAGTCTATACTGTACATTATTTCTGTTAAGTGACAAGACTCTTGGCTAAGCAAAGATTTGTTGCTCTTACAACTGGGATCGACAACAAGACTTTTGTCAGGCAGAATATATTTATATATGTGTGTGTGTGTGTGTGTGTGTGTGTGTGTGTGTGTGTGTAAAAGAAAAAAATAAACAGTATAAAAAATAAAGAGAAACATTACTGTATTAAACTAAAATAAAGAATAACCTTAATGTATTATTATTCTCAATGTTTAATTACAATTATATGTGGTTAATTATTTTGGAGTCTAATGACATTTTAATATTTTGGCTAAAAAAAGTTTCCAAAATCACTTCAATAGAAGAAATAAACTCAAAATGGCATAAAGGTGAGCAAATTCCAAACACTTGGTTGCTTGAACTGTAAGGAGGACTTCCACTAATTCCTCAATGTGGCTATTAAAAATTAAATTATACAGTAAGTAAAACAAATTAAATAAATAATCAAAAAAGTCAAGTTTAGGTTTCATTTTTAAACATGTTTAAATAGCCTTAGCCAAGATCTTGTGTGATGTTGGCCCTGTCACTGACACAGCTGTGATGGCGCTCATACAGAACGCGAGTCCTGTTACCATCTGAACACCCATCTGAGCATCCAGGACTTTCTAATATGTAAACTAGCAAACGTCAAATCCACAATATGTTTGCCTGCCTGTTTTGCATCTCCTATGGGGGGTTGGGGGGGGGACGTAACCCAGCAGTCGATGAGCCAACCATTTTTTTTTCCCTGTGATGCTGTCAATCTCAAAAGACCTGCAGAAATCGTGCGAATTATCATGTTCGATCTCTATAAATTGATGAGATATCCTGTAAATAACTTTCCTTGCATTAGCTTATCAAACACAAGCCTATCTGGCTGTGTGCTGAATGTGTTTACAAAGCACTCGACGCCTGCAGACGTTTCGGCGCCCACACGCTGACTGATCTGTCGACGAATTTGTACGTGTTTTTGGTTTGAGGCGCATCAGCGATGTCCCAGGATGCATCGAGGGCCCGGATTTTCTGCTGAGGTTTGTGAAAGGATGCATCACTGAGAGTGGCAGTTGAGCGTAAACACTTCTAACAAGCTGAGGATGCTGAGGAAAAAAAAAACAAACAAACAGAACAGCGAAAATCCCCAATTCACAATCCCCACTATCCCGGTCTTTCCATCAACAGAGCCTTTCTTATTCGCTAAGCCTTTTTTATGTGACATGTAAAGCTAACTTTCCGTGTCTCCACTACTTGCCCTTTCATTTCTCAGAGCAGGGAGTGAATTCTGTTTTGTTTTTTCTCTTAGTTGCTAGAGAGAAAAGCAACCAAGTCCCTACAGGTGAGGGGGAGCTTAGCATCCATCATGGCTTTTTCCTGTAACTCAAAGCACACTGTCATGTCGTGTCAGGGAGATTGCCGGTGCTACTTGAGCGCAGGGCTGGCGTCTTGTTTAGCCGAGTCCTTTCTCTCTCTCTCTCGCTGCGTCGCCTGCAGCAGTGCTTGCAGAGCCAGACACAAACAGCCATTTTCCTGCTGCCAGGTGCCGAGTGCGTACGGCTCGCTTCACAGCATCTGTCGCTCTCTTTGAGCAGCCATCTTGGGCAATGAGAGCTGGAGTAAAGGCATACTTTCATTCACCATGAAAGCAACACGTGTGAATCCAGGCTCCATCCTCACTGGATACTTTGCTGTGGGCATTTTGTTAGAATCGGATCAATCCCCTATTGCTTTCAAAATGGTCTCAACTATTTGTAGCATCACAAATGTGATACATGACACTATATGCAAATCATTTATATGTCATATAAGTTCATACTTGGATTTCACATATAGTAGTCATAGTCATTTATGGATATCACTATATAAAGTGCCATATGACAAAATCTTGCAAAACATGGCCATTTACACATTGCAAAATGCGATTAGTTGACTTTACTTAAACCCCCTCCCCCAAAAAAACATTGCTTTATAATTATTAAGTAAACAAACTATGTGCATAATTACCCAGATAAAGTCAATGGGTTTACTGACTTTTTAATCCGCTTGTTGCCTTTAAGGCAAAGGGTTTACTCTTTAGAGTATATACAGAATTCAGAGTGTGAAATTTAACACAATTTAAGAACTTTTTTAAGACTCTATATTCAATTCTTTCGATACATTTTAAGACCTTATAACCACTTTAGGTTTCAAACAGAAACACTAGCGAGATTTTAACTCACAGTATATTTACTAAATATTAATGTAAGAAATCCAAAAATAAAACATTATTCATATACTGAATGAAAATCTACAGCCTACAGAGCTGCAAAAATAATGGTTTTGCCTTGGTAACTGCAGTAAACAAAGCAGCATGATGTCAAATCTAGCAGGGTTTCATTGATTTCATAAACTGCACAGCGCCCTGATATTAGCAGATTTAATTCAGGCAAACTTTAGCATACAACCATACATTGCATAATCAAAAATGATATAATGTAATACTTTGCAAAATAGCATAAGACTTTTTAATACTTTTAAGGGCCTTACATTGATTTATCAACTTTAAATACATTTGAAGACCCCGCAGACACCATGCTTACTTTTTAAATGGCATGCTTACTTTTTAAAGCTGTTTGGACAGAACTGCGTGTAGGTACAATGTGTCCACAGTCATATTGGGGTAATATAACGACGATAAGTCTCTTTTTTAAATTTCCTGATGTTAAAATAGGATCCAAATCCCCCCCCCCCCCCACCCCACTACCACAACGTGAAGTAGGAGTGCGGTTTCCACGCCCACCGAATTGATTGACAGCTGCATCTAAAAATGTCTCTGTAATAATGTGTATAATCATATCGACAAGACGTGCGCAAAGCAACAGAGATTAAAAGATCTGTTGAGCTCTCTGTGATCATCAATCACCATCAAATGCGATCAGGAATGAGTTTTACAAGTTTAAACGTTTTAAAAAACAGTGCATGTTTGTAATGAATTGCAGCGATTTTACCATTTTTACTTTATCACCATAGCTGCATGTCAGTACAATTATAAAAGAGGATGATTCATTCCCAGTTTTATTATTTTGTTATTAGGTTTATTTGCACATTACCATTACGGATATCAATACAGCAGTGGATATTATTTTGTATCCTGTCACATTAGCGTGCAAAAACAGTGCAAAGTTTAATGTGCGCGCTGTATCTGTGTGTGTGTGTGTGTGTGTGTGTGTGTGTGTGTGTGTGTGTGTGAACTTTGTAACAACATTGTGTATGAGTCATCGTTCTCATCGACTCATTATCTCCACAACAAATACATCAAATAATCATTGGTAAAGTTCTTACTGTAGTATTTCTCACAAACGCTACGTGAGATCTGCTTCCTTCATGTCTGTCACTGTGCTGTTTATTGGACGTAGCCGAGGCACGTGGGAACAGTGGGCGGGGAGAACCAGCATTAAAGACACAGGCAACAAAAACAGCTACACTGTGTTCAAAGCAGAGAATTCTAATGTTCTAACAGGTATAATAAATAATCTGATGGATGTTTTGAGCTGAACATTTACAGACACATTCTGGAGACACAAAAGACTTCTCTTAAATCTTGAAAAAGGGGCAAAATAGGTGCACTTTAAAGTAAAGTAACTAATCGC